TCTTCCTAGCTGAGTGGGTTCCCACTAGGAGAGCCACTTGTGAAATGGGGCCGAAAAGATTTCCGAATCCACTTGATAGTGCGTATGTGGGAAAGAAGGGATATTCGTCATGGAACACGGTACCATCCGAGATGGAAGGGAAGGCAGTTCTCTTCCATAGGCTTGATGCCTGCGTGTGCCCGCCCACGTGCCCTATTTAAGCCTGGAGGAGGTTTTCCCCAGGGAAGATGGTTTCTTCCCATCGAAGGTGTTTTTCCAGTGTGTTGGGGACCATGGTGTGAGTCTGTGACTAGGCATATTATTATTTTTCTTTGCATTTAAAATGCACCAAAAGACCCTTTGCCAAGCTCCCCCAGATGCATTCGGAGTGTGGGGAGACTTGCATTCCAAGAGATGGGTGGCTGACTTAGCTTCAATGTCTTTGCATGCTCCAGAGCAAAGCATCCTGCATCTGCTGAGGTGGTTCTCAGCGGGAGCTCCTGGCGGCTCCTTGGGAAGAGGCGGAATTCAATCTTCTGGAACTACTTTGAACTTGAGAGAGGAGTACATACTTGGGTTCTTAAAAGAAAGACCAAGCCCCACCATCCTTTTATGTTACCTGTGATTCCATCCTTTTATGTTACCTGTGATGGAGGTACAGCTAAACTGTCCGGTTTTGTAAAAATGAGGGATTTTGTATGTTGTTTGTTTGTTTCCATTCAACAGATCTTGAGGTTTTGTGCTTCCCTTCAAAGTGCCCGGTCTCTGCAGTCAGCTCGGAGCAGTGGCGAAGGAGACTGCCAATTTTAGCAGTGACACAAAGAGATACCTTTTCAACACTGTACTCAGGATTTACCTGTTGGATTCCATTTCATCCTAATCCTTTGCTCCTCATGCTGAAAATTGACTCCCGAGGCTTGGCCTCTAAGGCAGCCAGTGTTCTTTTAAGAACAGATGGAATTGGAAAGGGCCAGCAAGGCGGGGGGTGCTTCTGTCTCAGCTCTTGCTGTTGGGGGTGTAGCTGAGAGAAGTCACTTCATCTGTTGTGTCGGGGCTTCATGCCTGTCGCCTTTGCACCTGTGAATGAACCCCTGAGCCGTCACGTACTATTTCCATGAGCCGAGGAGCTGCTGCCCCAAAGGCGGTGTCATTCAGCTCGGTTCTCCAGGAGATGAAAGTCACTCAGAAAGACCCCGATTTCAGGCTATGTAGTGAGATTGGCCACGAAGCCTGTCTTTAGGGGGTAATTCCTTAAAGGGAAGTAGAGCTAATAACTTTACCACACTCTGGATAATTTTTTAATGAGATTAGGAAGTAAATATTATAGTGTAGTATTTTAAGGAAAGTGTGTATCTTTAATGAAGACAAACAAACAAACAAACAAAAAACACCGAGATGTTAGTGGTTCATGTGTAAAACCATTCTTTTCTCTATAAAAAAAAGGTTGTTTTAGACCAGGGTTTGGAAACCATTTTTTTTTTTTCTGCAGGGGCCTTTTGGATATTGATAACATCATTCTCAGGGCATGCTGGTTAAACGTTTAATTAACTCACCCTCGTGGATGGCTGGAACCACTTCTTTGGGGAGGTGTGTGATGCTGTGTGGTATTGATGATTTCGTGGGCTTTGGTCAGAGGACTAGATGCCCTAACCCTTGTTTTAGCTAAAGAGCCCCTCTAGTTTAATCAATGCACACTTTAACTTACAAGGAACACTTTCAGGTGCAATACTCAAGCAATGCTGTGAATGCGTTGAGGTATGTCTCTACATAAGGAAGACAGTAGATCATGACTTATGCTTACCCTGATTCACATATGTTTAGTGAGGCAGACACTCATTTAACCACCCTGTTTTGTGAAAAACTTGAGACAGTGCTTTAATTATTGGATCTTCTTCAACTTCTCACATTCTTCAGGGTCAGGGCTTTTGCAGAGAGTTGATTTGTAGTACATTTGCATTGTTTTTTATTTCATTGCATTTTATTAATTGGAAAATGAAGTGGCACAAGAGATGTTTATGGCGTATTGGCCCGTGAACTTGGGTGGTTTGCATTTATTCTGCTGTTAAAAATTAATTTCTGATATGGGTGACAAAGCTTGCTTTTTCATATTTTTGAATCCCCACCCAATTTGTTGGAATCGTTGACTTCTGAAGAGATAGTAACGAGGAGCGAGGTTAATCCTAACTTGCAGACATTTCACGCGTCCCTCGGCTCAGGCGGCTGTGAGGCCTGTTGTGGAGGAGCGCGTGGATCTCCTTTCATGACCACCAAGCAGGTGGTAGCGGGTGGGGAGTAATTCTGCCCCCTGGCAGGTGGTGCGAGCAGAAAGTAGGCGGAAAACAAGGGAGCTCCAACAAGTTCACGGGAAAATGGAAGCAAAAGATAAAGGGACTTTTCTGTGGACTTTTTGAAGCCTCTTCACTACATTGGAGAATTCCGTCCTGCGTGTGAATATATACATTTCCTGTGTAGACACACACGCTCACGCCGAGGGAACGGCTGTGAGGGAGGGTTGTTTCAATTAGCTGTGCATTAAGCATCTCTCGATCCCGATGCACTTTCATGAACAAACTCAGTGCATGAGGTAACGGATGGGCTTGATGTCCAAGATGTCTCTGGACTGAAACCTTTGACTTAGTCTCCAACATGAGGGCACCCCCGAATTTCACCCCTCTTCCCGCATCTCCAGTGCGTAGTTGATGAAAAACTAAAGGCAACAAATGAAACTAACAAAAGATTCTCTAAAGCTGACCAAAGTACCCAGGATGCATTTGCTTGTTTTAGGTGCTAGTCATTATGCACGTGTAAAGCGTTCCATTTCTAAGTAGGGAAAAGGATGAGCAGCTGTTAAAGTTGCTTGCTGTGGTCCAGATTTATGACTCGTCACAGTCGGTGACAGGCCGCTGCTAGCTAAACTGTCTGGACTGAGCCTCATCTGAGGGCGGGGAGTCCACACCCCTGCTTCCATTACAATTTAGCGCTGGTGCGAATCCATCGTAGGTGAAAGAAACTCTTCCCTTCCATGGCGAAGCTAAGGACTTCTGCTTCCAGGTCCTAGTGGACCGATCTGTACTTTTAAAAGCAGACACATGTTGTGGTCCTTTTTTCCATCCCAGGTCATGGATGTGATAGATGACTCAGGTCTTTGTAGCAACCTCTCTGGTGGTTGGTGAACTTCCAGGTCAAGATGACCCTGATGATCAGAGACCATTAGTCCAGATGGAAAAAAAAATCATAAAAATAGTTTGATTTTAATTCTGGAAATGCCTAGTCCTAGAAAATGCCAAGGAATGTGTAGGGAGAAACATTATTCTTTATTTTATTATTTATCGTTTTTATATCTCTTAAAAAGAAAAGAAAAAGGATTGCTAACATATCCGAGTGGGTTTGACTCCGTTTACCTGAATAGACCGTGTCCACCTTCACACCAGTCTCGACATCATCTTAACCAATGAGAACTCATATGAGACAATTATTCACTTGGGTTGATGAGGACCCTTGGGAACGACCTTCTGGGGCTCGAGAGATGGAATGCCAGGGTCGCCCTACGCCTTTCAGGAGCTTCTTAACTGCGTGTTCTTTCACGCAGGGAGTGAGGGGGTCTCTCTTGAGGAGTG